ATACTGATACTGAAGCATTAGGCCTGATTTAAAGAGTTGTGCTTTAGAGCAGTGGTGGCGAACCTATGGCACAGGTGCCAGAGGCGGCACTCAGAGCCCTCTCTGCGGGCACACGTGCCGTCACCCCAGTCCTAGGCCTTCAGCTGCGTTTTATAAAACCTTTTTGCTTTAGGCCTCCGCCGCCATGTGCAAAAAAAAAAAAAGGTTCAATCAATCAATTTCAACTTCTCGCAGAAAAAAAAGATCTTGCAAAGTTGGAATTGATTGATTGAACTTTTTAGTCCCACCCAGTCTGCCATTACCAGCGCAGCCATGCCCACCCAATGGGCCACACCCACCCAATGGGCCACAGTCACCCGGCACCCAATGATGCATAAGTGGGTTTTGGGTTGCAGTTTGGGCACTCGGTCTCTAAAAGATTCGCCATCACTGCTTTAGAGAATCTTCTCAAGACATTCTGTGATTCTCCTTCTTGGTTTACATGTGATAGAACAGCTCCTAGAGAAGGATTTCTTTTCTGTAACACTTTGAAAATGATTTGGAAGAAGTCTTTGTACCGTTATAAGCAAAGCACCTCTGCAGTTCAAACTTAGCAAGTGAGAGGAAGTAGTTACTTTGAGGAGTTAAATCTGCAGATCATGTGGATGGAGAGATATGTTCTCCTCTCTTGTGATCTTGGAACTTACCCTCATCAGAAATCCTGCTGTCATGGTTTCCGATAGATGAGACCAATTAAAGCAGAACTCCGAGGCTTGAATTTTCCTCTAAGAACATGTTTATTGGTTACAAAGTATCGGCACAAATGAAAAGTGAAAGCAAAACCAAAGTTCCCTCCAGAAAGTAACAGTATTACAAAGTTAAATTTCCCACCCCATAACCTATGCAATCAACTATGTTTCCCAATGAAATAGTTTGGCTGTTTTCTAACATTTAGCACAACCCCCAGCCTAAGGAACAGAAATGACCTTGGTTCCCATGGGACAGAGAATTGTTTAGGCTAGCATAAATCTCCCCATTCCTCCCCCCAATCTTGTGGCAACCGAAAATGAGCAAGATGGCTTCAGCCAGGTTCGTTGCAGAGTTGATACTAACTGTGTTTTAGAATAAAGCCTGTGGAATTAGTAGATTTTTTTAAATATATGCAAACCTAGGATTGTGTAAAAAACTTCTGTATCTATTGCTTGAGAAACATCTGAATCCATTGTTTGCAAGTAAATGGCTAGCTTAAAGAATTTAGCAATCAAAACATGTGGTCTACTTTTGAATTACTGTATATTTCCTCAACCAACATACTGCCCAATAATCCCAAGCTACATTCAACCTACAATAAAAGGTAAACTTCAAACAAAACCCCAGTAAGACATCGAGTCAATTTTATTTTCAATGTAAGACTAGATTTCTAAACACCAGTAGAATAAAGTATATAATTCTAAAACATAGCAGGAATTACTGATCAATTTATCTGGAGACACTAGTTTAGGAGAATTTGACTCCATAGGTAGTCCTCAACTTACAACCACAATTGGGCCCGAAATTTCTGTTGTAATTCAGTGTGATCATAAAGTGAATCATCATGTGACTAGACACAATTTTACAATCATGTTTATCACAGTCATTAAGTGAATCTCCATGGTTTTTAAGCAAATCTGGCTTCCTCGATTGACTTTGCTTGTTGGAAGCTGGTTGGAAAGTCACAAATTGTGATCATGTGACTGCAATACACTGCAGCCAATGTAAATGCAGGCTGGTTGCCAAGCGCCTGAATTGTGGTATGACATTCATAACAAGGACAGGTTATAAGTCATTTTTTCCAAGGATCTTATAACTTAAAGTCCTTGTTAAACAAACGATTGTAAGTCAAGGATTTCTTGTAATGTCCTCTCCTTTTAAAGATAACTTGCTAGCTCTGGATTCTGCTTAGAAAAGAATAGTGTGAAAAAGTTGAGACTAATCTGTAATGTAACTTGGTCTTCAGGAAGCCAAATTTTAATAAGCATAGGTGAAAGATGAGCATGTGCATCGTGATAGGAGCAGACCCTAACCAAGAGTGCTTTATGACTGTGGAATGTTCTCTCAAGATAGGAATGTGTTTTGGTTTCCACTCTTCCAGATAGTAAAAATACATTTCATCAAGGTTTTAATTTTTCATTATCTCATTGATTTAATTATGATTTCAATATTGTGTTTAGTTTTACACTTGCTTTTTAAAAATTGCTGTGAATAACCTTGAATATGAAATAAACAAAAGGACCAGGAAAGGGGAAAATCCAGGAAACTATAAACTAGTTTCCTAAGGATTTGAGGTTGGGCGAAGTTCTAGAATAGGGGTCTCCAAACTTGGCAACTTTATGACTTGTGGATTTCAACTCCCAGAATTCCCCAGCCAGCAAAACACATGAAGCAACATGTCAGTAAGAATTTAGGAAATGATATTGCTGTTATCAGGAATCATTAGGGTTTGTCAAGATCAAGTCATTTCAGAGTACCCTTAAAAAACTTGCTTAGTAGAACAAGAGAATGTTGAGGCTATATATACCCTGATCAAGTAAGAATCTAACAATATTACTCCTAATAGCTTGTAGACCAGTGGTTCTCAACCTGTGGGTCGGGACCCCATTTGGGGTCGAACGACCATTTCACGGGGGTCGCCAAACAAGGCTGTCTGCCATTTTCCCCCTTTTCTTTGGCCACGCCCCTGGCACCCAGTGATGTATAAGTGGTTGGGGATCACTACAACATGGGGAACTGTATTATGGGGTCGCGGCATTAGAAAGGTTGAGAACCACTGTTGTAGACAAATTAGCGTAATATTCAATAGACAATGTTGCAGTCTAGTGGATTTCCAACTGGTAGAAACTTACATCTAAAGATGCTTGTACAGTAAATGGTTCTGCTTTTCCCGAAGAGACATATTGGATGGGTTTCTTAAAACTCCATTCTTGGCCAAAGGTTATTCAAATTCTTTGCAAATGGCTTAGGCTGGAAAGGATGCTTATTAAATTCAAACTAGATAGATTCACTAATACTTAAGAGATAAAAGCACAATTCAATTCAAATTGAATTTTCCACAAGCTTGAGTATTGGCCTAAATTCAATAGGTTGATTTCAACTATGACAAATATATGATCCTACAGTGTTGGTGGTGAAAAAAATTAATATGCATGTTACTTGTGCACAAGATCTGGTTACCAGATCTGCTGGTTTCAAAAAGGGTTACCAATTCATGAAAGTATAATGGAAGTGTGGCTGTCTTTGAAAGCTATTTCCCAGCAGACTAGGGCTTCTTTGTGCAGTTGTTTGGCCATTGTGAGAACAGATTGCTGAACTAAATGGGTTAGGGCAGGGGTTCCCAATCCCCAGTCCATGGACTGGCATCAATCTGCAGCATACCAGAAACTGGGCTACACAAACAAGCAAAGCATCATCTGTGGGATGCAGGTAGCCCACGAAACACATCCTCTGGTCTGCAGAAAACCCCCTCTCCATGGATCCGGTCCCTCGTGCCCAAAGGTTTGGGGGCCAGTGGGCTAGGGACTCAATCCAGCAGAGCAGTTTTATGTTTCTAGGTAATAACGATCCTGGAATACTATTGACCAATCAGATGAATATGGGCAATGTAATTAGTGGTGTAAAATAAATATAGAGTAAAATAATGAATGTTTAACAACAGCTCCTCCGGCTTCAGTGCTGCAGCAGCACTGCAAGCTACCAACAACTGATTGGTGTGCCAGCTCTGCTCTCAATTCCTTAAAATTTAACAATCAGCTCCTCCTGTGATTGGATATGAGCAGGCTCCAGCATACAACTGAGTGCAATCGAGCAGCAACTAAAAAATAAAATCCAGTCTAGGCACTGCATTCACAAAAGCATTGCTTCCAGATTACAGGAGGTATTAATTCCATTATGTATTTCATTGATTAGACATGCTAGGAATACTCTACCCAGTTTTGGGGATTGCAACTTAAAAGGGACACGGAGAAATTGAAACAGATTCAGAGAGCTATCATGATTAAGAGAATCGGAAGTTACTTTCCACTGAGAAACAGTTAAAGATGGACACATTTTGCTTGTAAGACTAAGGGAGTTATAACCATAATGTATATGTATATGTATATCTATCTATCTATCTATCTATCTATCTATCTATCTATCTATCTATCTATCTATCTATCTATCTATATTATCCCATCTTTTAAAAGATCAACCTGAGTGTAAAGAGGCACAAGCCGTAAAGCAGTGGAACAGATTGGCTAGAGCAATGATAGACCCTCTCTATCAAACAGAAGTCAGATAGCCATTTGTCAGGAATGATTTAGTCAATCCCAGCAAATGAAGAGGCTGGACTAAATCACCCACGAGGTTCTGCACAACCCATCCATTCTGTTTAAAAAAAAAAAAAGCCCTTCATGTTTGACACACAGAGAAAGAAATGGTTGTTATGGAAGATTTGTATGAGATTTTACTCGTCACTCAACTTAAATGAAAAGTGGCAGCTTTCAATATATGATCCAGAGTGTTCCATGATTTCTTAAAAATAGCGATTCCTTAATTTTTAAAAAAATGGTGGAAATGTTTCCTGTCAGATTGTACTATATTAGTACTTTGTATATTTCTCAGAGAAAATGTATTGTTTTCCAACTAACAAGATCTTTGATTTCTTTTTTGAAGTTGCCTGTTTTTAGACATGTACAGATCGGAACTCTGGAGAATATATCAGAGATTTGTAGTAGATAACTGCTGTGAGAAGTGTTTCTATAAGAACAGTTAAAAATGCTGCAATAAATGATCTAATAACTTTTGACACCCAGCAGATTATACTATTGTTCTTCTGCTGAACAGTGGACAAATAAAAACATTTTTGGTGAACAATTTCTCTTGCTCATTTTTCTCAGAAGGAACTGTTGCATGAGTTGATCCCACAAAGAGCTTCTTTAAGAAAGCAGATGTCCTGCTTTACCATGGAAAATAGCAACACAAGCCAGTTATAAATATAAAGTTTATTCAGTATATATTGTTTAGAAAAATAAGTTCACATTTTAGAATACAAACAAAAACACAATTTTCCAGGCACAAACTTCTACATCAGTGTTTCTCAACTGAGACAACTTGAAAATATGTGGTCTTCAAATCCTAACCACATCTTAAAGTTGTGAAGGTTGAGATACACTGCTCTATTCAGTATAACATACATACATATTTTCCAATCTCTTTGGTTTGAGAGCAAAGTACAGCAATCTCTCCAGAAATGCAATATATCATTCCTTAACAGTGCAGCAACACCCTTGCCTCCTAATATCTACATTCCATGTAATTTCTTCTTTTGTCATAAGGCACAATCAAAACCATATTGATTTACCAAAATAAGTTTTGTTCCAAGCATACAAGTGTGGGCAACAAATGGACACTGTCCAAGCTGAATGCCAAAGACTGAAATATTCACATGCTTTTCTTTCTTAAGTTGAGAAGTATAAAATTAAGTTATTAAAATATTACAAGAAATTTAGAAAACATATGTCAATCTATCCTTTTAAGATACAACTGCTGAGTGATGAACTGCGGAAACAGCTTAGACATAGTTCAAAACCTTCACTACCTTGAGTAACATCCATTCTCCTGATAACAGCAAAGAAAGACTGCTTTATTCCTCCCACAAACAGATTCTTGCTTACTTGTAGTAAGTTGGACAATAGCCATTTACTGAAGGCTGGTTACTATGAGATATACCTAATGATCAAAGGATAACTTACATTCTTTACTAGCAAACCACATTAAACTGAAGGGAGCTGAATAGGATTCCACAGGCTTCACACTGGGCCCTCAACTGTTCAATACTTTTATGAATGGCTTGGATGATGAGATGGCGGTGCTTGTTAAATTTGTAGATGACACAACAGTAGGTTGTAGAAAAAAGCTAATATCCTCCCAAAACCCCCCCCTAAATTTCAAAATAATCTGAAAAAGTTAGGGAAATGGGCCTGAAAACAACAGAGTGAAATGTAACAGAAGACGAAGCAGAAATCAAATGTGTAGTATTGGCAATATTATTTGTGAGAAAAACCTTGGAATTACAATTGATAAGAAACACTATGAGACAATTGTTTGATATTACTGCAAAGAAAACAAAAGGCCCTTGTAGGCCGAATCAAAAGAATAAAGTTTCCAAATTAAAAACTGACAATTTTTCTTTATTTTGCATTGGTCAACATATCTTAAATAATGTCTCCAGTTCTGGGCACCATACTTTATAAAGGATTTAGATAAACTGGAACAGATTTAGAGAAAGGCACTAAGAAAGATCAGAAAATTAGAAATTTATGAACATGTTCAACTTGCATTCTGTTTTCATTAAAAGGAAAAATATTGATTCCGATTATCAAGGAAGGATTAGTTAAAGCAGAGGCTGAATAGACAGTTGTCAGGGATATTTTAATCCAGATCACTATATTAAACATAGGATTGGAATTGATGTTCCAAATGGTTCCTTTCAACTCTATTGATATCTTTGCTGCAGAATTCCAAAATTGTTCAATTTTTCTTTTTCATTTGGGCAAAATATAATAGAGAAAATAAATTATACAATAAAATAACTCAACTGTTTTAGGTGTCAATACAAGTCTGGCAAAATGTTGTGATTATTTAAGTGTCCCAATAAGTTTTCACTCTTTAAAAAGTGTCACCTTTTATTCAGCCTTACCTGGAAGGCTGGAAAAGAGGTAAGATAGCTTTAATGTTACGTTCCTGTGAGTTGTGAAACACTTCTTCCAAGTAATTTTTGATGACCATGACATCATACGGGGAGTAGCTTGAATGCGAATTAAAATATTGTATACTGGAGAAATCTAGAACAAAAATATGATTCAAAGCTCAATTTTTGTCATGTCACCCAATTTCTTCCAGTTTTTCATATAGTATAGATAGATTTATGCGTCCATCAACATGTAAAAAGAATGAATGGTTTTTCTAATTGTTTAGATCAGTAGTTTTCAACCTGTAGTCCATGGACCCCTGGGGGAGGCGCACAATGCGTCATAGGTAGTCCACAAAGGCTTGAAGAAATGTTATGATTTAAATCTTGAGTTAGGTCCTGGGGGTCTGTGGCCACAAAAGGTATTTAAAGGTGGTCCGTGGTGAAGAAAAGGTTGGGAATCACTGGTTTAGATGAGGGGATGTTCACTTTTGGATACACAATTGTTACAAACAGAAATGCAGGCATAATTATAAAAAGCAGTCAAAATGATTTAATGTTTAACCTGGAAGAAAGTAGCATGCGTACATGAAACCAAGACATTTATCATTTATCACAGAGCCTTTCTCCAGAGTCATCATGATCACCTCCAAACCATCACAAACCAATTCATAGAGCCCTGTGATTTTTTCAGTTGAACAGCTCTTGTATCCTCTTCAGCTAAGGAACTGGCGAATGCAGAAACCTGTGTTCAGCCAACACATCCCCCAACTTGCTTCCTAACTTCACAGGTATGTGTTCATAAGTTGGTTCCCCCTCATGTTACAAAGACAGGGAAACAGTGCTGTGGCCTGATGTCTTTTTAACCTCAGGTGGGAAAGGAAGAGAGCTGGGCCAAGGCAAGAATATCTGCAGTGCCATTGCTAAACCAGAAATTCTTCGGCCCAACAGTATTGAAGGCAGTATGCAATCACATCGGTGGGGAGATGTGGTGGGAATGCCACATTTGGAGAGGACCTTAGTGCTTTTGAAACTGGATCCCTGTTTTTTCAAGACAATTATTTCAAGTTGGGAATTTCAAACCTGTTTGGTTTCTTTTATCATAGTTTCTAGGATGCATTCATAGCAATTGGAAAACGCATGCAGATTTCCGAAATGAAAAATCCATCCTGTGGGCAATTTTTCCCCCTCACATTTTGCACAGCAAAGTAGCCTACTACCTAATACATTTTTTCACTTCAAAAATGGTTGTGGGAACCAGCAATTCATAAGTTTGCTTTTCCTTTATAAATAGATTCCTTTAAATCCTAGGAAGCTATCCTGATTTCTGAAAAGGAAGAGCTGCTAAAGTGAAAAGGATAATTTTTCTGAATTACAGGCCTATGAGTTCCACAATTCTGCTAAGCAGTTTTATATTTTACTAGAGAAACAGTGTGAATCTCTTCAAAATACCAGACTAGACAACAACTTGGATACTGTTCTTACACATTTCCTGAAACTATAAAATTGTATTAATTTAGATCACATACAGAAGGACAACTTACTCTTCTCAGAACAGATGATCAATTAACTATGTGGCTCAGCCTCTCTCTGATAGTAGGAATACTACTGATCGGAGCAATTATATCTACTACACCATCACCACCAACCAGCCCCCGTTTTGCAGCTACTATATTCTTTTAAATGAAAGTAGCCAGAGATGCTTTTCATCAGGACGGTCTTAGGTGCAACCACTTAACTTACTGTCTTATTCATTTAAGATGGATCTCTACATTTCAGCAACTTAAGCAGAGCACTTACATACACAGCAGAATCCTGTGTAGATTATACTATTTTGTGTTTGAAAATTAGATATTGATAGGAAAGCAATTTCTCTGCCAAATCAAAATAGCCATGAAACTTATTTTTTCTATGTGCAGGAAAAGCAATAAACATGAGAGATCCAAGTAGGATGTCTGTATTGAACAACTCAAGAAGACGACTACATGGTGGTACTCATTCATACCTCAAAAGCTTTCTTCCAATGTATGCACATTCTGTCAGCCTTTGCTGAAAGATAAGATTTTTCAGTTGATGGAAATTGCACTAACTGGTAATCCAGGCAGACTGTTAAAAGCTAGTAAGGCAATCCTTTTCACCTCATTAAATAAAACAAGAGGGAAGAAGGACGTAAAACAAATAGCCTATTATCTTTCAGGTTCTTACTATATGGTGGATTTGGAAAGTACTTGTTCTATTTCTGCAGAGGTTCTTGAGATAACCTGACTAGATCATTCTTCTTCATCTTTGTTATATTGCAAAAAGAGACAAGGTAGAAATGAGATTGAGAGAATGCTTTTGTGCATGATCACTATCACAAAAAGCACTTAGTCAAAGGAGAGTCTTACATTCAGTTATATCACTGATTTTTACCCAAATCCAATATACTAAAATACTACCAGCATTGTTTATCTGAAATTTAGCTTCTAACAATATTTCATACATCTGAGATTCTTTTAATCAAAATGGATTTTCTCCAAAAGAAAAGATTCTCAAGGGTTCCTATTACCTTCAAAGTGATGAAGCAAGATTTTATTTTGAGTTTGGTATATTGCAGTCATCCTTTCTTAGACCTGTAGGCACGTCCTACATGCAGAAAGGCTGAATGAATGGCAGCATAATCTCTTTTTGCCAAACCATTGCAATTCAACAAGTTGGGTATGGAATATGGAGGAAGAAAGGAACATACTTTGAATATTTATAAGCAACATACCATCTATCAGAGGTATCCTGCATTTATTTCACACCTACTAGTATGGAAATCTCATCCCTGATTTATCAGAGCAATGGAGTTTTCAAGGGAATCTTGCATATGTAAAGGAATTAGGACCACTGTTTTGATTGCTGTCAGACAGATTTTTCTTTTCCTATATTGATGAATCATAGAATATATGTGGAAGGGACCTTCTGGATCATCTAGTCCAACCCTCCCTTCAGTACAGGATTCAATTAAATCATCTTTGGAGGATAACTATCCAGCCTGTTTGAAAACCTCCAGCGAGGAGGAATTTATTACTGTTCTAGGCAGACTCTTTCACTGCTTAACAACTGTGCTGGTTAGAACAAGGATTTAAGGCCACTAGGAAGAAAGGCACATAGGATTAAAAAAAAAAAAACCAATTAGCAGCCATCCTCAAACTTTGTAAATTATCTAAAGCTAAAACAGAAATAACTTTTATGAGGGTTTGTTCTAAAATCTATAAATGCATTTGTTCATAGCCAAACATAAGTCTAGTCCAAATTGTTACCAAAAAAGGAAAGAAAATCAATTAACGAAGCTTTATCAGGGAAAGAAATCTTTAAAATTAGGCAGAAATAATTTCCTGTTCAAAAATACAGAAAGAAAAAAAATAAATTAAACTGCTCATATCTCAAAATGATAAAATGGACACCAATGATTATAAATAGAATCATCCTACTAATAAAAACAATTCTCATTAGCACAATTAAAACAATATTTACATAGGTGGCAGAGCCAAAGATTCTGGGTTGCATAATTTCAAGTGGCAAAATGTTTTCTTCCTCTCCCCCACCAGTTCAAATCAGACAAAGAAAACTTGCACCATTTCAAAAACTATAAAAATTGAGAATGCAGAACATTGGTATTCTGATGGAAAACTTTTAACAACACACATACATACACACACACACACCCAAGAGAGTATTTGCAATTGTGCTCGCAAAAGAAGGTAATAGTAGCTTGTGAGGTATTGCCTAAAGTACTCCTTTAAAGTTGAAAACTGAAATATCACTTTCTCAATGCCCACCATCTGTAAGTAAAATTGAATCTAGACCCAAAAACAGTATGCATTTTCTCTTTTAGTTCCAGTCTTTTTTTAGAAAGAAAATCTTGTTCCTAACCAATAACTATTGGTTAATAAACATTCTGAAATTACCTTGAAACTCTCCCTGTCCAAAGGAGCTACTTGGGTAAGCCAAACCATCTCATATTTGACTGGCATTTCCTTTCCATCCATGTATAATTCCTTTTGATCAGGCTGTAACAAAAGTTAGCATTCATGCAAACTTTGCATGGCAACTTTGTATTCTTAGTGAAGACCTCCTTTTAGTAACTGGATTCTTCTTCAACTATGCATTTTTTACTGTTCTATGTGCCTATGGGGAAAAAAATCCACTGCTGTGCTTCTAGCCTTCAAAGGGAGAGATTTCTCTACTGAAATGCAAATACAAGATTATTAAACTTAAGGGTTTTTTTTTTACAAGTCTTGCATATCTTCTTCCATCTGTACTGTCTGGAGTTTAGCCAGTTGTTTCTTGTCTGTCCCCAGTTCTTCACAGAGTGCATCGACTATATTGCTAGTAACATACTTGGTTTTGGGATCCAGCATCACCGAACTGCTTCCTGATCTGCTTTCTGAATCAGATAAAAAGTTTTCCTTTAGAGTGGGAATGGATTGCAGGATCAGCCGCTGTTCTCGAGTGAAATGGGGATGTCCTTGCAAAGAGAGGTGGGATCCCATGTCATTGCCTGCTACCCCACCGATCCCTGTTAGCGCTGGCTGCACTGGAGATATGGACACCAGGTCGTGGCTGCTGATGAGGGAGCAGTTCTGAAGTGTTGCATAGTTTGCATTACTAATGGAAACAACAGTTGCTCCACTTGTTGTGGAGGGTTGCATTGGTGGACTCTCAGAAATGGCTGAGTTGAGTTCTTCTGCATTTAAAAGAGAAGGTGGTCCAAGGGAAAAGTTATGTGATATAGTCACGTTAACTAAGGAAGAGGTTCCTCCTGGCTGGAGGACCCCATTGGGTAAGTTGTCTGAAGGTAGACTAGCATGAAGTTGGGCATTTTGACCAAGGGGCATGACTTGAGAAAACACCAGGCTCGTTTCCAGTCCTTCCTGTTTCACTGGCTCAACTGCCTGGCTGGTGTTTGGGATGGTGTACACCACAGTGCTGGGAGCAAGGGAGCTGAAAAACACTTTCCCTTGTTGTGCTGTTGTAGAGTCAGTAGTAAATGTGCCATTGCTTGTTGTGCCTTGGTTAATGGAAACACTACCTGTGGTGGGAGAGAAACAAACAAGTAAAAACAAGGGAAAGTTTTAAAGGCACAGTATAAAATTAATAATTGTAGGTTTCTCACTCAGTCACAGCATAAAATTAAACTAAGAGTTGAATTTTCATCTCCCCCATGGTTTTAAAACAAAACTTCCATCCAATAATGTCTATTTAAAAAGGAGATTTTTTTTTTTTTGCTATTCACATAACATTCACATAATGGATAACTGGCTGGATAACTTTGGGCCAGGTACTCTCTTTCAGCACAACCTTGTTTGCCACCTTGAGTTGTTCTACACACACACACACACACACACACACACACACACACGGATAAATAATAGTAATAATAAGGTCTACTTCAGTGTTTCCCAAACTTGACAATTTTAAGGCATGAGGACTTCAACTCCTGGCAACGCTGGCTGTGGCATTCTGGGAGTTGAAGTCCACATGCCTTAAAATTGTCAAGTTTGGGAAACACTGGTCTACTTGGAACTTACATCCTGCAACAATACATTTAATATTACTAAACAACATCTGCCTATCCCAGGCCCTTGGGAAGAACTCAATAGGTGGACAAAAATGCCACATCTAGCCTAAACATCCAGCTAACTCTGCAATCAACCATGTAGTTCCTGATAAATGAAAATATAGGCCATCAATCTAGTTGTTATTCTAATGTTCAAAATACAGATAGATCTCAAAAAAAGCCAATCATACTTTTCTTGCAGGCTTTTGTCTATTTGTGCAAAGCCCATGGATCACCTATGGCAGCCTTGAGGATGTTGTTGAATTAGTACTCTCAGCAATTATGACAGTAGGTGGGAATTGTAATTCAATTCTAACTAATTCTCATAATTGCTGAAGGCAACAATTCAGTGTGTTTGGAAGGCCACAAGGTACAAATCCTGCTTTGAGCGCGGGGGGGGGGGCTGGACCTCCAAGTTCCCTTTCAGCCCTTCTATGTTCTATAAAAATACAGATTATGAGTTAAACTGTTTTTTTTTCTGAATATCTTCAAGATATTTTAACAGATTAATGGTGAAGTGGGAACTATTTAGTCATGGTTTCATGGTCTAGTAGCATATGGGAAAATGTCCTTTCCATCCAGTTCTTGCTTTAACCTTGGCCAAAAGTATGAGAGCTTAAGACAACAACTGATATGGGGAATAAAGTCATGGATCTTCATCTTAAACACTGCTCTCATGATATATTAAAAACATAGGTATGAAAGAGGTGTATGGCTTACTCCACTAACATGGGATAGGACAGTAAACACTGCCAATATGTGATACTTGGTAAAGCTCAAGCAGAGTCAGCCATGATATATAAAGGGAGAAGATAAATATGAACATATGCAAATCTCAATGAGCTTTCAGAAAATAGAGAGATTGGTGAGATTTACAAGAGATAGTACTGGACATTAATACTACATAGTACATAGTTTACCTTTTTCCATGATTATCAAGCACAGGGTTATGTAAAGTAGTGAATAAATGCAAATGCTCACTGTATATACACAAGTGTGCTTCAGCTGTTCATAGGGAATGTTAGAGCTTAGAAGTCATCTCCAGAGGATAAGATTCTGTGTGTGCGCACATGTGTACGCCTTTGAGTCAGCATTGATTCCTGGTGACTTCCTGGACTGGCTCTCAAATAAGACATTATATATGAATGATACATAAGTGAAACTCGGGAAAATTGAGCCAATGTCAACTAGGGATCTCAGTATAATGATTATACTGTAATTTTATACTCACCTAAAAGCATGATCATTTAAAAATAATGAAACATTACCAAATAGGATTGTATAGTAATAGCAAACTGGTGTTCTATCCAGACGATCCTGGCTAAAATCTCATCTGCCAAGGATTAAAGTAAAACCTACTACTACTCCTAGCAGTTACAGGATTTGTCTGTGTTACTTTCTTGGCAACATTACAGAAGTGGTCAGTGATTATTTTCTTCCAGGATATATTTTTTTTCAATTTCTAATCTTCATCTGATAATCTCCTATCCAAGTACTAATGAGGTCTGATCCTGTCCAGCTCTTTTGTGATCAAACATGGGCATGCAATGGAAGGATTATTATACTGTCCCATCATGCATAGTTGTAAATATTATGTGTGCTAACTCTATAAATTATCTGCTTTACATTTTAATATATCCCTATCAAATTCACACTTTCCAAATATGAAAGTACAATAAGTAGTAAACTGAATGTCAATATTTATACATTTCAAATGTGTAAGCTGCAATTTTCCAATTATTAAAAAAATAATAAAAATGTTAGCACACACTAAATATTTGAATGGAAAAACTGGTGGAAATGACATTTAACAAATAATATACAGTAAAACCTCATATTAATGAAGGTTTGTAGGCGAAAGAGAATCACCTTAAACCTGGCTTTATATCATTTGCATGAATTAATGTCCTGGGTAATAATGATGTGCATTATATAAGTTAATGCAAATGACAGACATTGAGAGGAATCACTCAAATTACGTTGAATACAATGGGCTTTGTTATTTTGATAAGGCATCCAAACAGAAACTACATCCAGTGTAAAAATGAAATCTGTTAAACCAACGATTTACTCTCTTGGACAGTATCTTCTGCCACACCTAAGAGCAGCAGGCTAAGTAGGGCTGAACTTTAATCTATATGGCTCCCTTTACTCAAAGACAAAGCTAGCCCTACAGCCAAAACAGGCAAATGAAAAATAGTGTACATCATAATTTGCTGAAGCCTGCTGATATGGGAAAAAGTTTGAATTTTCATTGACTCTCCATCAGTATACATCTAAAAACCTGTTTTGCTGGATTTGGATGTTTTCCCATCAGTACAAGTCTTCACCAGGTCAAAGTGTCTTCTTTTCATGGAAAGGCTCCTTTTGTACACAAGGAGCATGTTACATATCTCCAACGTTCTTAATTTCACAACAAAAAAGCAATAATTTAATACAGTGAAGGGTTTTTACCTCGGGAAGTTGCTGCCGATACTGGGGGAAGCTGCACTGGGGAAAAACTGAGGCCTCCATTAAGTAACTGGCCATTGTTTGCTGAATTAGGGATTTGGACAACGCCATATTGGTTGATTTGGATTGGAGTGGTAAAAGTGACTACTGAGCCACTGTCTTGCGATGCTATTGCTTCTTCGCTTTCTTCCCTCTTTACTTCCATGCTTGGTGTCAAGCCTGGGAAAGAGGCAGGCCCAGAATTGGGGCTGTATGTTGTTGTGGGTGTTGATGATGCAACAGAATTGGACAGAGAAGTCTGGAGGATTTTGAAGTCTTTCACATCTTCTGCAGAAGGGACTAACATGTCACCCATAGAGACTCCATTGCTCAAAGCATTGGGCGATGTTTTGAGTGGACTTGATGATACTGCCTGAGAAGTTCCCATACTGAGACCATTGAGGAGGAGACCATTGGGGCCCTGAATGAAAGAAGTACCATTAAGAAAAACAGATGGATTGGGAGGCATTAGGTTTCCATTCAGTAAAACTCCTGAAGAGCTTAAGGATATTTTGGAGTTTCCAAGTTGCTGCATATATACTTGCTCCATTGGGCTAGGAAGGCTTAAGCTGGCGCCGCCATCGGAGGTGCTTGCTAGAGAACGTGGAGACAAGTCCTCTTGCCCCTTGCTGGATTCATCTTCTGTGCTGGGGTTACCATCCGACTCACTACAAATCAAGAGAGAAGCAACAGTGAATTGATGTGATATCTTCACTGGATTCCAACACTTTACTGATGGGAGAAACAATTATTATACCCACAGAAAACTAACAGATCAAAGAAAAAAGCACTAGATTAGTCCCTATGAGGATTCCACTTTTCCATGTATAAGCTGCGTATGAGAAGAAAAATTAAATAAAAATTTCCCAATGTATTGGTATAGGTATTGCCATCCTGTATATTTCTAAGGCAAAGAAAAAGACTCCAAATTGTTTGATTCTTAGTGACCAAATGCAAATATCCATACAGGTTTTCTTAGCAACAATATGGAAATGGTTTCACATTGCTTTCTTCCAGCATGTTTGTCACTTCCCAGTCTAGCCTACAATGCTGATGCTTCCTGATGATATTAACCAGGTCTGAGCCACTTTAGTTTCCAAGCCCAGGCAACATCAGTCAGTTACTGCCACTTGGTGAGACATGTCTACTCAGAAATAAACAAACAAAGAAGCAAGCAAGCAAGCAATTCTTGTGTCCAGAATTACACCTTTATAGCGGAATTCTATACAGTAAGTATATTATACAGAGGTTCCACCACTGTATGCAAAGTGACTTACTCTGTTTAGTATGTTCAGGTGAATATGCCAAATCTGAACATAACTCTTTAAATTTACTGTCCCCAACATTCCTCAAAAGTCCAAATGTCCAACCAGGCCAAAAATGTTGATTCTAGATTATGTCTCAGGGAAGCAAAATGTAGTATGGCTGACAATGTTTTGAAAAAGCAGAAGAAAAGTAAAAGATTGCAAAGAACTTCAAAAGAAACTCCAATTTAGATAATCAAAATAGGGGGGAATGGGTATCAAAATGGCACAGGCACAATCACATAAAATTATTCTTGTAGTAGTCACTAATCTTACATTTTCTTATTCACTAATGTACGAGTAAGGGATTGACCAGAAAACATTTCTTGGTATTGTGATGAAAAGCCCAATGAAGATATTGGCCAATACTGTGGAAAAAGCAAATTTTATGTTAGCCTTTTAGCATATCCTCTTGCTAATGTCATTGGTCTCCTTCCTGAGATTCTCATCATCCCCCACCCTTTTTAAAGCCATGGAAATATTACTATTTTTTTCTTCATGTAAATTCATAGACCTATCATGCTTGTCTTCCTATAAACTTATAATATGATATGTAATTGGTGCTATAGAACAAAATATTCTGCTACAGCAGAAAATAACTATCCTTTAAGGGGAATTTATTCAATAATATATAGTACTTAACATTAGAAAAGAATGCAAGGGTAATTGTTATAGAAGAACCAAAAAAATGTTAGATGGTTTTTAGGGAACTTCAGGACCCTGAAATTAACTATTACATTGTTTACCTTGAGTACTATGTCCACTTCTGGACATAGCATAATTATGCATAGAATACTGCATAATTCAGAGAAAGACAACAAGAAGATGAGAGAATTAGAAACAAAGGCTTATGAAGACAGAGAATGAAAAATCTAGGAATGCTTTGCTAACTTCGAGCAGGACATGAAGACACACATAGGGCAGGAGGACTACTTATTCCTTATTGTTCCAGTGTTCAAGATTAAAAATAGTTTTAAATTATAGAAAGACAAATTGTGATTATCAGAAAAAATATAGTTGGAAGCAGTTATTTAACTGAACCAATTCTCCACCAAAGGAATGGTGGCCAACCTTTCAAAGGCAGAAGCTAGACAGCCATTTGTTAGAGATTCTAGGATTCTTGAACCAAGTAGGTAGTTAGATTTGATAGTGTAAATGGTCCCTCCCCACACTATCATAGTCACCAATTTAGGTGGATTTAAAAGATGATGAAATAAATTTTCAATTTTTTTGATTCATATGGAAATTCAGTTAATCAATCCATGAATTGGCTAAAATCCATACAACTGGTTGAATAAGACTCCTTTAAGTTGGGTAAAGCTTTACTCTGGACACACTGAAGCAACAAAGTCCCTTCCACATGTTTTGGGATAAAACATTTCATTTAAAATAGAGCAGAATGTGTGCAAGCATTTTGCCAGGTATTATATTCAAGTTATATTAATTTCAGAAACTGAAACATGTCTGGGTCATATTTTTAGGACAATATATTTAATGCAAACCTAATGAAATATATACTAGAAAACCAATTTAGCTAAACAGATAAACAGAATGACCATGGGTAGGCAAACAAGCAGTGAGAACAAAAGTGACTTCCTGCTGGCTTTCCCATTGCTCTTGTTTATGGGAAGCTGGCAGAGAGTGTTGAAAATCACAATCACCTGAATATGGCCGACTACAATTACATTGTAGCAGCCACAACTTTGCAAATACAACTGGTGTGAATATCCTTGAAATTTCAATACACATTTATTAAATTTCTATGTTACCCATGTCGCCTAGAGATACTCTAGCTGGCTTACAACCAAGTAAAAACAAATGGATATCTGGACCAAAAGTTAAAGAAAGAGAATTCTCAAGGAATGTTTGCATATAAAATAATACTATAGCTTCAAAGGATAGATCACTATTTTAGAATACAAGCATGCTAAATATTTTAAAATGCGATTTTTACTTCTAGTTTTAAAAGTTTACGCTAAAATGCATGGGAAGATTCCTATTCTTCTAAGGCTATTAAAACAGGTTTTTAAACTGTTTGATTTAAGTACTTTGCAAGTTCCACTGATTTAAGGAATGATTTAAGGACATACATAACTCTCTCACTGAGGTCCATAAAAACCTGAAAGCACTTAACTTTGACTGGATTATATCCAAACTATTTAGATAATAGGTTCATTTAAAAGAAAGACTTTCTTCATAATCAGCTTCAGACATTAGACATGGACCACTTGTTTGTATATACATGGAAAAGAAAGAGCTGCAAAGATTAACATTCTTAATGTGTTTCTACAGTATCTTCATCAAAGACAAAGCATCATTATTACTCTTTCAACAGTGTTGAAAGATTTCTAATTACTGCAGTGTGCAGCTTTTACATTAGGCAATTTTCATGAAGGAATAAGCTGGCATTCTCCCTCACTAAAAATCTTGACAAAATGTATGTTGCAGTTATTTTTATGTGGTTTGATTATCCACTATGGGTGGATTCATACAATATGTAGCTAACTCAAGACCAAATTAGTCACTTGATCAAGCACAGTGTATGAACCTAATCTGATAAATCATGATGTGATAAATCATACTATAGCTTGTTTAGTTTTGATTGTATGCTGTGTGAATCCAGAAATTGTGATTTACAAAAAGACCTGGGTTATGTCTTAATGAGTTGCAAAAATTCACTGGATACTGATTTGTTGAATAAAGTATAAACAATCCACAGCCCGGATCAGAACGTGAACCTCTGCTGTGGCAGAAAGCTGAGAAAAATGACGAATGTAATATATACATACCAATCATTCCACATCCTTTCAGGATAAATAATTTTATAATACAAATGAATAAATGAAGTAATACAGCTTGGTTTCATTCTTCTCTATTTGTTTCCTGAATGCATATCTCCACACAGGGGCAAAAATGATAAAAACAGTAATTCTGGACATAAACAAAAATAAATAAATTAGATAATTTTACTTATTTAATTTAGTAAGATTTAAAGTCACTTTTGTATTCTTAGAATGCTAGGATACATTTCTTGCTATTCAATAATGAAAACGGCATTTCTTGCTACTGTACTGTATTTTACAGTTTTTAAATTAACATATACCTCCATTCGCAATTAACAACAAAAATACTTCCAGAAGTATTTCTACCTATTGTTCAGGGAACTATATGATAAATTCTGCCTGCTCATCAAGATTTCTCAGATTAAGAATCCAAAGAAGTTGTGATGCATAGTAATAATAATAATAATAATAATAATAATAAAGTTGGAAGGGACCTTGGAGGTCATCTAGTCCAACCCCTGGCTCAGGTAGGAAACCCTATACCATTTCAGACAAATGGCTGTCCAGTCTCTTCTTAAAAACTTCCAGTGTTGGAGCATTCACCACTTCTGGAGGCAGGTTGTTCCACTGGTTAATTATTCTAATTAATTAATTAATCATTGTTCAAAATTTGTAGTGATCTGCTGTTCCAAAATTCAAAAGTGTTGCTGGATCTTTGCAAACTTTATTAGTGTATCAGCAAAAATAAATTGCTGATTTATGCTGTGGTGACACAGTGGTTACAATGCACTATTGCAGGTTGACTTTGAGCTTACCATTAAGTAAGGCAAAAGTTAGCAACACCATATATATATTCTGCCAATATTAGAGTAAGCCAAATGCAAAAATACCAAGATCCCATTATGGTATGAAAAAAGAAATAATAGATTGGTAGGGATCATAATATAATGCATTTAATGCCCAGCCACACATGTATCTCTATTGTTGATAGATAATTTCCTGCCCATAGGGAGAAAAATTCTAAAGAGTTTTAAATGCATTGGTTCCAATGTTAGTCAAATCTTTCAAGTATTGTGAAATCTATCAGCTCTTCTATTCACTATGGAAAGAACTGTCCAGCATACACAGCTTGTGCTCTTTGTCAAATATCACACGTGTACAATACAACAAAGTTCATATCACTCTGTCTTCTGTCTCATTGTCCAGGTGCTTTTAGAAAGCCTGCAGAAATGGTGCCAATGCTGCAATATCTGCCATTCAGTAGTAGAAAATGTCTATAAATGGAGATGTAACACAGATATTCAAGGTAACAGTTTTTCAATTAGATCAGTGATTTGATCTGGTCCCTTTAAGAACTACAAGAAGGTATTTTTAAAAACAACCAGATCATCACAACTCTCAATGGCAAATTGTGTAAATTCAGCATGACCGAGAGTCATTTTTGGTCAAGCAGATAAGACTCCAGACTAAAAAACAGAAGACTGTGAGTTCTAGTCATGCCTTAGGCATGAAAGCTGGCTGGCTGATTTTGGACCAACCACCTTCTCTGAGCCCAACTCACCTCACAGTATTGTTGTGGGG